ACCTTGTATTGTCTACCCTTTTCATTTTTTTTTGTTCCTGTGAAAATGTGTCCGCAAAAGCTTGCTTGTTTGTTTCTCTTGTTTTCTTTGACTCTGGCATGTAGACAGCTCTTATAAAGATTTTATAAAATTAAGGAAGTAGACATTTGTGTTTCTTCATTATCTTCAAAATTGTCTTATTTTTTTAAGCGATAATGTCATTTGTGACTTCTGAGGTGCCAGAGTCCAACTGTGGTGCTCCCATTGTAATTAATGTTGACCCTAGATTGCTATAGAAACGGCCAGTCTGTATGTCTTTTGTCTCTTTGTTGCCCTCTTTCCATTTCCATCTATAAGTTTTCTTAGGATGATCTGATTTAGTTTGAGCTGATGGTAAGCTTTATACAGATACTTCCCTTCTCATTCCCCTGCTACTTTTGGCTGACTGATGAAGTGATGGTACTTGCCATCTTTTGCATCCTCTTAATTGTTCTATAAAGAAGCTTATATTCTAAACCAGTGGTGTCAAATGAGAATAGAAATGGAAAAGAAATGGATGGCTGTGGGCTTCCTAGTGACTTAGAAAACCACAAATTAACATTATTTATGCTGTATTGTATTTTTATCTTATTAAACATATCCCAGTTAAGTTTTAATTTGGTTCCAGTTGCACTGTGGAGTTTTGTGAGCTGCTTGCTACTAGTTGCTCTGCTCTAAACCCTGTTGACTTTTGCTGCCTGCCATGTCCATGTGCTTGGCCAGGAAACCAGTGGAAAACTGACTGAGATAATTTCCCAGCTCTAGTCTCCTTGTGGTAGTGACTACTTTGTGATGATTTAGCTTTGCTTTAAGAGGGGCAGCTAGGTGGTGTACAGTGTTGGGCCTGAAACCAGGAAGACTAACCTTCCTGAGTTCAAATCCTGCATAAGTCATTTAACCTGTTTTCCTCATTTCCTCCTCTGTAAAAATTGAGCTGGAGAAGAAAATGGCAAACCACTCCAGTGTCTTTGCCAAGGAAACCCCAAATGGAGTCATGAAGAATTTGACACGACTTAACAACATCAAATTTAGTTTAAAATATTTACAATCAGAATCAATGTTGTGATCCCTTTTTCCAGAGATTTAACAGCTTGTTTAAACAGGTTGTATTGGAGGTGTGGCATTGAGTATCTTTTTTCTCTAGCTTTTCTTCTAATTTGCCTCCTTGTAAAAACTTCCCACACTACTTTGATACATTTTTGACTAAAAACATTCTTATCATTAGCTTCTATAAAACAGCAATGAATTTTTGTATTGAAACCATTTTTCAAGGCTAAAAATTAAAACACAGCATGTACTTGGCATAGGGACCAAGTATTTATGAGAATAGCTTTGCTAAAGGGTACATAAAGTTACAGCTGAGCTACGTCAGAGTCTAATTCCATTTATATTATTGTATTAGACAGAGTATCAAATTATTATACTCCCCATATGGTACCACGAGTAATTAATCTTGTATATTTACTTTAAAAAATAACCCTCATATCTTATTTTCCAAACTTGTTTGTAAACTTCTTGTAGGCAGAGTAGTCTCATATTTCTTTGAGTTTTCTGTAGTGGTATATACATTTTAGTTACTCATTAAATACTTATTGAGTAAATGATTTAGGTGTTGATAATGGTTGCATTGATTTGTTTAGAAGTAATAAGAATACATTTTAGCTGTGGCAGTAGGCATCCAATAAATGTTTGAGGATGATTCCATAGTGATTCTTAGGGATCCCCATAGGACTTGTATTATAGGAAGCATAAGATTCCTTTTTTTTTTTAATGCCGTGTTTGCCACCTACATACCAGCAAATTGGGGATTAGAAACTCTGTTGATTCTGCATTTGTGAGCCTTCCCCTGTCATCCCCAGCTGCCAAGGGCACCATCCACTGGGGTCGCTGCTCCTTTGTTATCATTTTGTCCCCTTAGATATACACTAGAAACTCTTGGAATATGCATAGCAAATCCAGATAAGCTCTCAGGCTAGTGTAACCTCTCTAGTTATTTCATGGGAATGGCTGAAAAGTCAGTCCTTCAGGCTACTTTGGGGAGAGGTTTCAGTTCTTTGCAAAAAGGCTAAGAGAATTTGGAGATGAATGATATGTTACACCCTCATTTTTAAGGTACGGCATTTGACGTTTTTGTAGAATGCAATTGCTGCCTACTCCTGTATTAAATTTAGCAAGATGGGTCTTTTTTTTTTTTCCACAAGAGCAAAATGCATTTGAGCTTACTGCAATGTAGCTCTTGGGGTTTTCTCAGCAGAAAAGAATGAACAGAATCAGCTGAAATTTTATTGTCTGTTGGTAAACACTTTGTACATTATTTCAGCCAGCTCTAATTAGATTTATTTTAAAGCTCAGTTCCCATAAACTGAAGTGACAGCCAACAATAAAAATCAAATGCTGATTCTAATAAAAATACACATATACACAATCACACCAGAACTGTTTGTAATTCATTCTTGTGGCCTTTTAGCATACCTACTGAAACATGTTGATGGAGAGAGATTTTAGACCCTCAAAACATCAGGAGAGTACTAACCTGAGGAAGAAGAGGTATTCCTGCCATGTAGCTTTTATGGTATAAATGCATGATGTTAGAATTTATTTTAATTGTGAAGGGAAAAAAAAGTGATTTGTTTTCTGAAATTAATCACGTTCCAAACCGGGTTGTTTGCATTCAAAGAGACTTCATTTTGAGAGGATAACCAGTATTTGAGAGTCTTCTGTGTTTGGGTCAATATGGTACTTTTTTAGGGGCTGAGCATTCATCTTTTACTGTTTTATAATGCGTGCCCTAACTACGTGGCATTGCATTAATGAATATTGCTTTGATGATAGTAGCAGTACATCAATTACATAAAATATTTTTTCTCACTTTTAGAATTTATTTTGTCATGTATAATTTTCTACTGTTTGAATATTTTATGTCACCTGTTTTCTACATATTCCTTGAATTTTTTTTACATTGGACTTACATACCAAATAAAATGAGCATTTCTGTATACTTACAACAAAAAAATTGTACATTAAACTAAATCTCTCTTATATAGACCTTGCTTTCCTTTTTAAGCATATAATAAATTAATCATCCAACTTTCAAAACTACTTTGCTTGTCTGTGAAGGTATCTAGCTTCTCTTCTCTGCATTAAAAATATTTTAGTATCTTTCCTTTTCGGGGGTGGGGTAGAATGGAAACTCTATCCCCAGCCCCTCTCCCTCCTACCTACATATTTCTTTCCGTACTTATTTGTCCTTTCAAATCGCTTGGGCAGTATATCTAACTAGGAACACCTCTATGCCATGAATTCAGTAAATATAAATAGATGATGATAATCTGTTTATTAAAAAGTGATTATGCCAGAGCATCCAGGTTTTCTAGCTCTGTTCATTGTTAAAACACATTGAAGTGAATATGGGCTTCAGTTCAGCTGAGGGAGCATGCATTTGAATGCTCAGCCCTTAAAGAAGTACTATATTGATCTGATTATAGGCAGCTCTATATACAGACTCTTTCTGAAAAGTTGGTATACTCTGATTTGAGCTGCATTCAGGTTTGTACTGGCTAGACTTGGGAGGAAAAAAAGTGTCTCCAGATCAGTAAGTTTCATTACATAAAAAAATGAGCATGTAAGGTCCTCTCTCTCTCTCTCTCTCTCTCTCTCTCTCTCTCTCTCTCTCTCTCTCTCTCTCTCTCTCTCTCTCTCTCTCTATATATATATATATATATATATATATATATATATATATATATATATATATATGTATCAAAATATTCATAGCAGCACTTTTTGTGGAAGCAAAAAAAAACACCCTGAAAAAAAGTGGGTACCCATCAATTGAGAAACGATTGAACAAATTGTAATAGAATATTATTATACAGTATTTAATGATGGCTGTGAAGAATTCAGAGAAACATGGGAAAATTTATATGAAATGTGGTACAAGGTAAAATAAGAAGAACCCAGAAAACCAAGTAAACAATGGTGACAACATTATTGAAGAAAACAGCACTTAAAGGCAATGGAACTTAGATTAATTGCAGTGATCAATTCTTGTCCCAGAGGACGAATTATAAAACACATTCCCCTCCCCTTGGTAGGTAACATGTGGAACAGATGGGAAATATTGCCAGCTCTCTCAGACGTGGCTGTTTTATCTCATTTGTGCTCCACTATTTGTCTTTGTTTCAAGGGAACATTCAGTTTGGGGTGGTATACCACAGGAGATGACTGTGGCATAAAAACAAAGAATTATCAATAAAACTTTATTAAAAGATACTATCAGAGATTTATTTTCTTGGCCATTGAGTTGAAGTGACAAGTCGGGGCCAAGGTATGTGAGAATTAGACCCAGTGCCAAAGCCTCCTAAATAGATATGTTTCTGGGGAGGTTTGCCAAGGATTAGATACTCGTAAATTGGGACAATTCCAAGGAAATCCAAGAGGATTGTTACCTAGCTACACCTATTCAGAGGTTAGGCATAAATGGTTCTGTCATCACAGGAAATGGCAAAATAAGTAGACTAGTCTCCTTTTTATTTATTCCATCTGTATTTTAGTTCTTAAACAAATGATCAGAACAGCATTCCATTGGAGAGAGGAATACGTTTTTCTTTTCTTTTCTTTTTTTTAGAAGTGGTTTTAATTCATTTATCTTAGAAGAGTTAACGAAAGTAAGTTCCCTCTCTGTAATGAGTAGCTCACTAGCCAGTGGGATTGAGGTCATAACCTACTGTATTCAATTGATGGTGAACCAGTTTAGTGTTATCTTTCAAGGTGATTTCATCGAACTTAACCAAGATGTTTCACTTAACTTAGGTGAAACAGTCATTGTTTTAAGTGTCAAGGGTGGGAAGGTGATAGCTTGAATGTTTCTGTACAAATGAGCCTTACTACCTCCTTAAAGTTCACCATGATGATTGTTTTGCTTTGTGTTTTTTTCCCTGTCTCCTGTCTCTCCTCTCCTACCCGACCCCTCCTCCCCCCAGGTTCTTAGCATGGTAATTAATGCAGCTTACAAGCCAGGAAGGGTATTGAGGGAACTGCAGCTTGTGGAAGACCCACAATGGAATTTCCAGGAGGAGACCCTGAAAGCAAAGTAAGTGTTTTCTACCTTGGGAAACCTGCCTTTGAGTAATGCTTAATTTGCTATGTCTTATTGACCCAGTAACGAGCAATTAAAAAAACTAAAAAAAGTTAAATTATTGTCCAGAAGTAATATGTGCTGTGCATGAGTATAGATTTCTATGAGTTTTTATTATATCCAATTACATTTTGAACAGGAACTTAGGCAATATATTTCTGTAAGTATAAAAGTTTGAAAGTTGTTTTTTTTTAAAATTGTTCAGTAGCAAGTATCTGATTGGTTCCTTTGAAAAGCAGACTATGATACTGTATGCTTAAAGTGAACATATGTAGGCTTTGGTGGATATAAAGGAGAAAAGATTTTCATATATATAAAGAACATGCTTTAATACAAGTTCCTGATTAGTACAAATAATGAATCCCCCGAAGTGGTCATTTGTATTTGAATTCTTACTTTTCAAAGTTATAATTATATAAAATATGGTCATTGGTTCCAGCCCATTGGAAATATGTAGTGCAAATTGGAATAATGCACTTACCTCAGGGAATTCTTTTTTCACACAAATCTGGACCTAGCTATATTGATATCTGTAGTTAAGATACCGGAATGAGCACATGTTAAAACATAGCCCTTGCTCTGTGGAAGTGTTCTTTTTTTAGAACAATGGATCCACATATTTTGAGGGCTGATTTAGGGAGGCTCAGGGAATAGTGATTGTGTCTTGGGATGGTAGATATTTTCTTCTTGTCTCCATTTATTTGCAGGTAAACTTACTAAAGGAAAATTTTTTTATATTGCTTTCAGTTTCCTGAAATATGAATTTGAGAACCCTTAGCCAAATGTTTAGTGGACGTAAGAATATATAGGTGGTAGAGAATTTCTTTGCTCCAGATAACTATATGTTAAACAAATGCTTTGAAGCTGAATGGTTTTTTTTTTAAATTCTCATTGCCCTAAAATAGATTAGCTCCTACTAGCTTACTTCCTCTAGAATCCATATTTCCTCCCAGCTCATACTGTGCAAACACTTTTTTCATCTTCACCCTTGGCACATTGTATACATTGAAGACAAGTCAAAAAGAGAATGAGTGTCTATATCTAGTCCAGGAGTTCTTAACTTGGAATATATGAACGTTTTAAAAATATTGAATAATTTCAGTGTAATTGGGTTCCTTTGAAATCCTGTACATTTTATTTGATGCACTTACAGCATTATTCTGAGAAGGGGTCCATTGGGCTTCATCACACTGCCAAAGGGGCTAAGGCACAAAAGAGGTTAAGGAACTTCTGATCTCATGTGTGCATCCCTCTTTCCCTTGGTGAGGTTGCATCCTGCACAGAAAGTTCCCATTCTAGTCTTTAAAGGTCCAGAGAGAGCATGCTACAAAATGGTAAGAATCAAGAATTTCTTACTTAGAGCTAACCTAAATGAATCCTTCTCCAGTATAAGTTCATTATCTCCTTTTGATGCTCAGTACATATTTGAAAAATGAGTACATTGCATTTTCCTTATCTTGAACATATCACTTATTGCCAGCAGTTGACTCTGGTATTCCAGGTGTGAGCATGTTTAGGGCCATCTTCTGAACCGTGACTTCTTGTTGAAATCACTGATGGGATAACGATGCTGTACTAGACAATACAAGATAGAAAGTATCTATAAAAAGTCTAAGTTTTCATATTTTGGTGGATGTTGTAGCACATCCATCCTGTTCAACGAAAGAATACTAGAATTTTCCTTCTGCTCTTTTATTTCTCAATATTAGCATCACATCATTTCAAATACTGAAATTTTTCTATCCACTCATTTTCAAGGAAGTTTTAGGGAGAGTCTTTCTGCAGCTCATGCTTACGAATCTCATGTATGGCACAGAAAAGGGAAATTGGGATTTTTCTCCTCTAAAATTATATCTTTTTCTCTTCCACTAAAAAGGAAATCATCAGTAATAGCAGAGCCTTTATCACATGTGATCAATCCATAGTGGTAGAAAATCCGAGCAAGTCTGTCAGTTGTTAGAAGGTGATTAATTATCTGGGCAGCCAGGAAAATCTTTCTTTTTTTTGTCCCCAAATGTAACCCCAAATTCAGTGCACATGGAATAAATCTAATACATCAGATAAGAATATTTTTAGTGAGATCTGTGATCTCAGTGATGTGGGAATTCCCTCCTGTCAGCATAGATCATAGACCCTCTTATGCTTTTCATTTTGTCTGACTTTTATCTGTACCCTCCCCTTAATCTTACACAGGGGGTCAGCCTAACTTGATGGGACCTTCATCAAGATCCCTTGATACTACCTGGTTATCCATATGACCCACACTCTGATCCCTCTCTCTTTATATATAACCCAGCCATATATCTCTTTAATAATAACTTAGGCAATACTTTATTCATGTTACAAATTGTTGGTATTGTGCTGCAGCCTATTAACATTCATTTTATGTTTTTCCTTGCTTTTTTGAATGACATACCTCATTTTGATTTCTCAGTGATTTAGCATTCCATAATTTAAAGTTTTACATCATCACCAGAAACTATTAACAATAAACAATAGGTTTGTATTTCAAGAAGCTTGGGGTCTTTAAAAGCACTATACAGTTTGCTTTACTCTTCCTTCTGTTTAATGCTGGACCTGGTTTACTGTCTTTTTGTAGTGTCTATCCAAAACATGTGTGTGTGTGTGTGTGTGTGTGTGTGTGTGTGTGTGTACACACACACACACACACACATATACACATACATACATACATACACATAGACACATACACACTGATGGACCAGCTCTATCTACTGTCCATTTAAAGGCATATCAATTTAGAAAGTAGTTATTCTTTATACATTTGTTTTTTCTGTGTGGATGGTTAGGTTGGGCTTTTTTGAGTGATTACAGATCTAATCTAGGAGGCTCTACAGTGTCAGGATTGATTCTATCAGCAAAATGTCACCCGCAGATAGGAGCATCCAGAGAATTTCACTTTCCCTAGGGAATGCCCCCTCAAGTGGATTCTGTACTGAGTGTCCTTCATAACAGTGGCAAAGCATAAGGATCCTGTTCCAAATGCTAGAAAACAGAGATGGTACTTTTTGCAGAGCTTGCACTAGTTTTTTTGTTGCCAAGTCGATCAGAGTTTTTATTAAATCCAGCCTAATAAAATCAAAACAGGCATTGTGAAATCTGGCCCTGCCACATTCTAAAAGCAACGTATTACCTATTATATCAAATATGACAGTAAGTTCCATTTCAGAATCTTACACAGCAACTTATAATGAGAAAATGTCTGTCTCAACTAGGTTTCAAGTACGCTAGATCACAATAGCATCTTTGAGCAGCTGCTAATGATGACAGGTTTATAGTCAGCAGGAATGTTAGTGTTATCATACTACATGTTGAGTCACCTCATTCCTTCTCATGTAGAATGACAGCTTTTTTAGATCTTGACAACTTTGCTGTTTACCTTAGTAGGAAAGGAAGGAGACAGGGCTCTTTCCCACTTAGCTGAAAGGCAGAAATCCTTGCTGTCATGAATAAATTAACTTGCGTTTAATTCTCTCAGCTGTCAAAGATATGTGTCACTGAATCAATTGCAAACAGTGTTTCAAAGAAATATATAGTTTTGATTATCCATGGGAGCAAGGCAATTACTATCACTTACCATTCATAGTTCCTGCTTTTTCATATTATTGTAAAAACCTATATATACTGGAAGGAGTTAAAAGTTTCATTGAAAAAAGGCTCTTGATGTATAAATCTACATAAAAACTACCATATATCTTCTATAGGGATTATCTAGTATTTTTTTATTCATTTATATGGTATCAAAAAAGGCTTTCATTATTCCCATAAGAGATTCTTACAGCTTTTAAACAGTATTTAAGGTGTTTATCAATTTATTAATGACCTCTTATTGAATACCACTGACAAAAAATTAGCTGTTATAATATACTTCAGTCAGTTACTAGTAGATATTTTGGCAGAAAAGACCCTTTTATTGTATTTTCTTGTTCTCCAGTATTTTAGACATACTGCTTGATCAAGTGAGATAATTGTAAAATGCTTAGCACAGTGCCTGATACATAGTAAGTTCCACTACCAAGACCAACACCGTATTGAAGAGTCTGCTTTCCTTCCGCTATCCTTGTAGCATCTACCCTGAACGCAGATCCTATGCTTTCTTTGATTTTTCAATTTTAGCCATCATAGGTTTAAAAAACAAAACAAAACCTTTTTGATGTCTAGAATTCCTCACAGTTGCAATTTATTTTGAGCTTTAGCTCTTGATACTATTCTTTTTAAATATAATTTCTTTATCGCCCATCATTTTTACTTCACCTTCACTTCTGAACGTATCTGTCACTACTCCCCTCCCCAGAGGACCATCCCTTATAACAAAGAACTTTTCTTAATGAGGATGTAAAAAGCAGGTCAGCATAGTTAGCCAGCGCAACGCAGAATGGTCCAGTGTATTGGGTTAAAAATCCTGGTTTGGCCACTTATTGCCTCTTTGGCCCTGGACAGTTCTCTTTATGCCTTTGGGTTTCAGTTTTCTCACCTATGAAATAAGGGTTAGTGTTGGCCTACAGGGCCTCTGAGGTGCCTTTTTAGTTCATGGTCTATTATCCTATTATACATGTGTGACAGTACATGCAATGGAGGCTTCTGGGTTACATGACCAACAAGTGGAGGACAATTTTCTCTGATCCTCATGACCTCTCAACCCTGTCCAAAATAGGAATCATGTGCAAGTGATAAAGCAGTTTCGGCTTTCTCCATGGTTTAGGACACTAAGAAAGAGAAAAAGACCTGATGAGCTATAACTCACTCAGCAACCCCTCCCCCACGTCCCACCACATTCCAGGAACAGAGCTCAAGTCAACCCACAGGCTTGCAACAGAGCTCAACTCCCCTTCCTCCTTCTTTATTCCATGGAAAACCAAAAGGTAAGGAAGCCTACCCTGGCTGGGATAGCACCATGGTGGTGCTTTGTGCTGCAGAGGCACTCAGCCAGACCC